ATGAAAAACCCAATCAAAATGAGTGCTCACTAAAGAAAAACTGCAGGAAATCAGTGTTAGACCTGAACATTCACCTTAGAAATTCCTTAATCCCCTTACACAGGAGACCAGGGTTTAGAGTTTAAAATTTTAAGTTAGCTCTTTTTCTGAAAAGAAATAACACATGAATGCACACATTTTACAAAGGTGCAAGGAATGTGTGCACAACCACTGCTGGCATAGGCTGTAATTTGGGTGTCTTGATTGTGACCTGCTGGCTTGTTAACTGGACTGCAGATCCAAACACATACAGAAAAAGTAAGCATGAATAGGTGTGTCCCCCCACCAGACTATATTATAGATTTATGGCAGGCACCCAAATAACTTCTCTGTAATTAAACAATTGAAAATCTGTCATGTCTACATTGCAGCATATCCAGTACAGAAACTATAAATGAATTTGGTGGTTATATTATGATATGAATAAGATTATTAAAAAAATCACTTATCAGATACTTAGTCAATGAAAGAGTAGCCCACTCATAATATTATATTTCAGCATCCTATTGCATTGTGGTATTATTCTTATTATTCAAGTACACCATCAATAATGCAACAATCACATAAAGGACACCAAAAATACATATTTTGTCACTAAAAGGGTAATTTTAATACTTTAAAATGTTATTAAATATCATAAAATGTCATTAAGACACTGCAAGTATATCTTATACACTAAAAGTGACTATTAAAATATTTCAAAATGTCTTTTTGTTTTACATAATGTTTTTCCAATTTTGCAACGTTTCGGCCGCACAAGGGCTATCATTTACCACAGGAAGGTTCCTGGTCCTCAATTCTGTTAGAGGCTAAGTCAACCCCAGGTCCATAATGTGACTGGAAGGAACTAGTCTACCTCTCCATAAAATCACTGATTCACCAGTAAAAGTCCTTCCCTGGGTAGTACACACTGTCAATGTTAATGCCAGACAGGTCTGACAGAGGCCTTATCTTCATTAATCAGCCATCAGAAATCGGAGTTGGATTTACTGTGAAATGGTGACATTTTAGAGTGAAAAATAATTTTAATTGTTTCTTGCATCCTGTTGTGTATTTAATTAATATTGGAGTCAATTTTACCGACCACATAACATATTTTTATTATTATTACACTACATGTTTCGACCCCAAGAGGTCATCCTCAGGTGTATGAACGCAGCTGTATAATTACACGCAATGATATTTGTCTTTTCACTTATTCGATCCTGTATCCTATTCAGGCCCACGCTCCACTGATCTTGGAGAGGAGAAATTTGGATCATACCTACGTAAAATAAAAGCTCCCAAATTTTTTTAATTTCTTGTATAGTACCATACTTTTAAATCACAAATATTAGTCTCTCTTATGACAGTTCACAGGACTTGTCACTGGCAAACATACTTAAAAACTTTATAGCTTATATTAAAAATTAATTTTATTTTCATATTTTCCAAAGATGTCAGTTCAAACAACTAGAAGCTACTTGAAATACAAGTGCTGATACAATGGGGCACACTGAGATAATGCAGATTATTATTTAAACAAACAGTACTGGTTCCTTGTGTGGCACTAGTGATGAAAAGTACAAAATGCTACTCAACTACAATTTGCTAGTTATGATCTCGCAGGGTGCCCAGCTTCTGTGAACAAGTGCTATGTGCTTTGAAATAAATAGTGCAAACCACCATCATTCACTGCTATAATACTGACTCTTCTCCATGAAGAACTGCAGTAAATTGTCAGCAAAAGAGACAGACCAAAACATAATAAAATGCACCACCTTTAAAAGTGGTGAGATTTCTCATCAGCACTGATATTCAGTACACTGTAATGAAACTTAGACTTGAAAATAAGTTGAGCTACTTTTGGTTTAATAAGGCTGTGCTAAGTTTTCATTCCTTCCTTTATTTATATTAGTTACAATTCCCACACGTCTGCACCCTTTTAACATCAAGTTTTTCAATATGTGGTCCTCACATAATAACAAATGTGAATACTGATTCAAATTACCCATTACCTAATTTTAATTTACATTAAATATTTCCTATTTACATCCTCTGACATTCTTAAATTATAGTCTTCCTTATTCAATCTTCCCATTTACATTTTTATCCTGAGTATGAGGAGTAAGCCATAAAAACCAGCCCTCACACCATGACCTTCAATTTTTAACCTTGTAGCTGCCCAAAATAGAGGTCAAATCAATCATTTTACTTTATTTTGATCTGACCGAGATGATTTTATTAGAGTACTTAACTTCGGTTTTTTTTTTTTTTTTTTGATCTGCATGTTTCAGATTCAAAGGCATGATACGAATTACAGAAGATATTACATTGTACTGCGCAGACAGAAGTAATATAATATTACATGAAACTTGGTGATTTCCATGGAGACTCTGGACCCACACACCTTGAGCTTGAAAACAGTTATATGCCATTCATTAGCTTGCAGAAGTGTGAACCAGCATGGCCAAAGCCACAATTTTATGGGAACCATGTGCAATGCTAGAAAAGATATGCCCCTTTTGGATTGACCAATGATATTTGGAATATTCAGATGCAGGGCTCATTGTCTATGTATGCATAGACCAGTTGCTAACCAGTACCATCATAGGATCTAAAAAATCTGAAAAATTATATGATGCCAATGCAAGCTGTCATGAGATGACCTATATTTTGGAACATGAAGGTGATGCACATGTTTCACAACAGATTTCAGCTTAAACACAATTCCCTCTCCCTTAGTTCAGCATACTTACAAATCAATTTAATATCATGTCCACACCCAGTTATAATAGCATCAACCTTACATCTGAGGGAAACATAATATACTCTAAGATCAAAAGACTTCATAAATAACTGTTGTGAATGTGTCTCTTTGTTATGGCTTTTCTGTTGCTTGTGGCTATTGGTATTTTCCTGTCACTGACCTGTGACCCTCACATTGCAGCCTATTTATTAACCACATTAAGCCCATACATTTCCACAGAGAAGCTGTTCCCTAAAACAGCAGATCTGCTACAATCTTAAATAAATATCTATGTTAAGTAATGATGCTAAGAGGATATCTGGTGTGATCTTCAAAAGAATTCTGATCACTATACAGAAACACATAGCTGTTTTGCTTTTAATGTTTCCAACTATAATGTGTGAATACACATTCAGTGTGCTTCAACGAAAGAGTAAAATACTAAAACAACTAAAAGGACAAGCATCTTTAAGATGCTCAACTGTAGCCGACTGCCACATGAAGGAGTTCCCATGTGACAAACTTCCATACATTTAAGGTAAGCACCTCATCTTTAATATATAACAGAAGTTCAGGATCCTGCTTCCTATGCATTGTGAAAAAACTAGATCAACATTATACAAAACTTACTGTGACTGCGATAAATTAGTTATTCATGAATGTCCCCTTGGCCAACTTTTGTAAAAGAAACTGTTTCATGAAGTTTTTTCACCCATGACCACATTTCTAAACGTTTATAGGCCACACACACACACACATACCCAGCAGGCCCAGCAGTATAACACACGCAGTCACAGGAGCAAGAAACAACACAAAGCACAATAATACACGATAGTGAAAGAGTGCTCCAACAGAAGAGGATAGATGTGACTCGCGTAGTGTGATACGACACAGGGAAGAAAAAAAAATATTCCTGAACAATTTTAATATTTTTAACATTTAACATTTATCAATATATATGATAAATATATATTTTAGTTATTTTAATATGAAGACAAGGCATGCAATGAACTAGTTTAGCGTAAATTGAATAAGCACCTGAAGATGGCACTTTTGTGCCGAAACATGTAGTGCGAGTGAGAGGAGGAGATAGATGAGTGTATGCACTTGAAGACGGTTGAAATAAATCATGGATTTATAGGCCAAACCAACAAAGATGAATCTGGCAATATGACATTAACATTTTAGGTTAGGTTACATTAAGTTTGGTTATGCTGTTCCTGTTATTTGGGCACAAATTCTGACATTTTGCTTCATTCAGTTTCCTTCTCCCTTCTTTGTCCATTCCAACATCTCAGCTCACTGTCCATTTTACTGCCTCCTTTCTCAGCACAGTCCATTCAAATAAACAAATCCAAAGAGGATTCTTCTGTTTTTCCCTTCAGCAGTAATGTGATGTAAAATGTGAAGTGCCAAATAACATTATAGGATATCACAATCCCATTTAATTTCAAACAGGCCTCTGAACTTGGACAGCAGCACCGAGTTTCCCAATACAGAAACAAATTTTTACAATTACATGTAATCACTGGTAGTCAAGAGGAACGTTATAAGATCATAATGTACATCATGCCAGATGCTCTGAATATTTAATTAACTTACTGCGAAGATGACAATTTAAAAAAATATAGGATGCTTTATTGAAAAAATAACCTCTCAAACAACGGTATCTGAATTTTTAAACTGGTAAGTTTGCTTTCGTGTGTGACGTACGATACCGTTTAACAGTACAATATTTGGTGACAAAACGTACAATTTACACGTATTTTCATACGTGCAGATCTTTTAATTACGACCATGATGATTAGGTACAATGAATCCAATACTCGAATTGCAGCTTATGCCTCGTAATCAAATGTTAGCTATAACACTAGGTTTATTCGTCAACGCAGTAAAAATTTTCTAATTAAAGAGCTTGGAAATACAATAAACGGTCCAAAATTATGTTTGGACGCTTAACATCTACCATGCTGTTACCGTATCTTATTATAAAATAGTTCGGCAGTGCAATGAAACATGACATGACATGATACGATCGCAGTACCAGGAATCAGTCTGAATATGTTACAATAAAGCAGTCACTCATTTCAAGCTAATAAAAGTATTAAAAAGCGGGAACATGAACCTCATCTTAATCAGGCAACAAAAATATCAATGCGCACGCAGCAACTTATGCTGTAGCCGGCCCTGCTATTTAAAACTTGTGTTATAATACTGTATATTTCCTTCTTACCTCCAACTCTATACATATTTGCTGTCATGGTGCTGTCCACGATGTTCTAGAGCACCTTACAAAGTAACTACATTTAACACTAATAACATTCAAGTCTTTGAGCATATAATTCTAATACCCGATCACATAGCTTCCTAACAGCAACAACTCGCCATTTTCTCTCCTGCCTGTCTTCCTGCTCAATCCGGTGACGTCACACGCCACAGTCCTTCGGCGTACTTCGGGAATAAGCCGCTACACAAAGCCGAATTAGCATCATTGCACACTGACCCTACCATTGTCACCTTTGATCTCCAAACCCCATCGTCCAAGGTGTCAAATAAAAGCTGAACACTTCCTCTTTCACGTGGAAGTAGTATAATGCCTTAAAATTGTGTCTACACCTGGAATTTACGACAAAACTACTTACTTGGTTGTTCCCGCAGCCTTAGTTTCCAAATGACCCTTATATATCTATATAGAGCGACAGATCGGCAAGTACAAACAGTACAAAGAATAAGAAACCCTACTTTCCTGTTTGATAGTCTGATATATTTCTAGTTTAACAGATTTGTTGTTATTGTTATTATTGTTGTTATTATTATGACTATTATTATTATTATTATTATTATTATTATTATTATTATTATTATTATTATTATTATTATTATTATTATTATTATTATTATTATTATTATTATTATTATTATTATTATTATTATTATTATTATTATTATTATTATTATTATTATTATTATTATTATTATTATTATTATTATTATTATTATTATTATTATTATTATTATTATTATTATTATTATTATTATTATTATTATTATTATTATTATTATTATTATTATTATTATTATTATTATTATTATTATTATTATTATTATTATTATTATTATTATTATTATTATTATTATTATTATTATTATTATTATTATTATTATTATTATTATTATTATTATTATTATTATTATTATTATTATTATTATTATTATTATTATTATTATTATTATTATTATTATTATTATTATTATTATTATTATTATTATTATTATTATTATTATTATTATTATTATTATTATTATTATTATTATTATTATTATTATTATTATTATTATTATTATTATTATTATTATTATTATTATTATTAAGCGTTACGTTTGTGAATAGCTTGTTATTTTAGCGCGAATTCTATCTGCATTAAATGTGTTAGACATAACCTCAAAATTCCATGTTATTTCAATGTACGTAATTGTTCATTTAAAACAGTACAAGATTCAGATATAACGTGTAGGTACGTTTGTTTTCTATCTCCATAACAGAGTTAACATACTTAGCCCCAGTGGATCAACAGTAACTGTTATCAGACCGAAAAGTAGAGAGCATTTTCGCATGGTCGCCATGTTGCTGCTTTTACATTCAACAAAAACGTTTAAAATGGAAAATTCCTGCAACATCTAAGATCATACATCACTTCAGAACCCTAGTGTATGTGGCACTTAGTCGTTCCTGCCTACTACGCCCACGCCTCCATCATGTCGTCATTACTGACTTCTTCACAAAATACAGCGTTGCGATGGCCTCCAATGGCATCAGGTCCGCCCCATTTTTCGTGAAAATCGGTTTGTTGGTTCAAAAGTTGAAATAAGGGAAATACACACGCACGCACTGAGCATGATGGTCGGGTATGTTTATTTTTCTCCTCTAAGAAAGAGAAGTACGTTAAAACGCGAACAAGGAAATGTTCACAGTATTATGTTTGTTCATGTATGCAAGGTCAACAAATGAACGGAATACTATATACACAATCCCGCATTTTCTTAATCGGTAAATACCGTAATTGCTATTAAGTAGTGGCGGCTCGTAGCTAAAATTAGTGGGGGTGCTGCTCCAGAAAATTTGTAGCCTTTCTTTTAAAATTGTATAAAAGGAAACAAACATGTATAAAAAGAAAATTTATTCAGAAACTTGATAAAATCCTAAAAGAACAAAATCAAACATTTTTTACTTACTTTAACCTAAATTGTTACAGTTCGAGCTTAATCTATTCATTTTAAAATGAAATCCATTCTTTTTAACCTTTATATTATGCTCATTGATTGAAAGTCTGTATGTCTCACTAAGTTTCTCCTCAATACTTACGGTTCCTAAAAGTAACAGTGAAACTACATTATCAACGTGCTTCTTTGACTTCTCATGCTTTTCAGTTTTTTCTTTCATTTTGTTTATATTTCTAAAACCATCTTTTGTCCACGTTACATCACCCCCAAACAGCAAACACGGGAAGCAAAACAGTGCATTTTTTACTTCACAGCCGCAAAGCCAACTTTTCCGTTTGTACCATTCAGAATTAAAGCTACGAATATATTTCTTGTTCTTGTTTATGCCTGGCTGAGATATTAGAATATCAGGTGTTAAACGACCTCTTTTCTTAACTGCAACTTTCTCACGGAGAGACAGTTGTGAAGACTTAAGCTGTTGAAGTTCACTTAGAGTCACAGAACTTATTTCTCGGGGATGCAAGGCCATGGTTAAAGTTTCCTGTTAAATAAAAGAACCGAAAAAAATGAATCAAATAGAATAGCTAGAAGCAGGATAATAATCTAATTCTACAATTAACTCATATTTTTTAAGCACAACACACGCGGAGTAAAAAAAAAAAACTACCTTCCACCAGCACGCCAGGGTCGGCACCGGTCGGCACTGTCGTTCCTGCAGTGCTCCCTCTCCCTTGCAGCCACGCGTGTAATTCCTATGTGCGCATGCGCACAGTCAACGAACACCTCGCCTCACAGTTCCATACAAAGATTTGGCTACTGACATTAGGCTTAAGGATTATATATTGTATTGTACAAGTATAAAGAAAGAATTAAAGAAAAAAGGACTCATTATATAAATGTTATCGATAATATCAAGTGGAAATTGGGGGTGCTGCAGTTCCGCAGTGCCTATACACGGGCAGCCCCTGCTATTAAGTGAGATTTGAATTTCATCTTCAGAGCAGGGACCTGCTGCCCATCTGTCAACCTTCATGACATTACACCCCTCCTGTAATTATTCAATTATTTTTTCATTCACTTCTCCTTATACACGACAAAAGTTAGTGACATTCTAACATTAACAACTCCATGTAAGAGTGATAGATACCGGTACCTATGCAGAATGTTTCACGACTTCATGTCATAGCATCAGGAGGTTATCCCCGAGGTCATTCTCGGTGAAAGGCGTTGTATCAACATGGGCACAATTCTCGACGGTTACACAGCTATTGGCAGGTGAAATAACAGCTAACATGTTGCATATAGTATATGTGTGTTGTGTAACATTAGTACTGTGATCGGGAAACGAGTGGGGAACGTGCCGCTTACGTTTAGTAACGAAAGTATGCAGACACGCACGTCGTTTACGGGTTTTGTAACGGAAATGCACCTGCTTCTGTTGGGGAATGTCGAGGACGATTTTCGAGACAAAGAATCCCTTATATATGAATTTTCGTACTGTCTGCCGACAATTGCGAGAAAGAAAGTTTTACATCCGCTGCTCTATTGTACGCGGAACATTGTGCAGAATGGGAACCTGGGTAAGTCGCACATCCCGACTTCCAGCGATGTAGTTGATTCTCTGACGAGGCTCAATTCAACCGCTGTGGGTAAATAATACAGCACACTCGTATTTATGAAGTTCTCAGGAACACGGACACTGAGAGACGCCGAGTGAGATCAAGCCATTAAAGGCACAGAAGAAGAAGAAGAAGAAGAAGAAGAAGAAGAGAAACTGTGAGAAGACTATTACCTTCTGAAGCAAACCTATTATTGCACAATTATTATGTGTTTGTACTTTACTTTTCCATATCCTATGGTGTCAACATGTACTCGGATTTACAGAACGTAAATAAATCGAAATTGAATTTTATGACCGGATGTGAATCCACACGTAAGTGAATTTTCTGTATCGATTTCCCGCTACCGTGGTGTGGTGTTGGTGATAGCGGTGGCAGTTAAATCGACCATTCTTGGAGGGACGACTGACAGGTGCCATCTACGTGGGGATTTTGGAACATAAGTTGACGGGTCTGTTTAAGATGTGCCGCTCTCAACACAGACAAAACGGTACGAGTATATTTCCAGCGTGGCGGAGCATTACTGTGTATCAGTTCTCACGCGACGAAGTGCTGGAATGAGCGCTTTCCTGGTCGCTGGAGGATCTAGCCCCTTTGACTTCCATGCGTTTTTGAAGACCTGTATGAGGGATCTTGTTTATGAACACAATGTGGGCACGTGTAAGGACTTAATTCGTCGCGCTACATGTACTGTTGTGAAATTAGCAAGAATGGGCATTGAATCTGACGGCAGACATTTTCAACACCAATTACAGCAGGGTATTTAAAATCATGTACACAATTTCTTGTTACAATAAACGTGTTTGTCGGATTCATAACACTTTTAATTTTCTCTGTCTATAGCTCTCATTGTAATCGTTGATAATCTTACCATGATGACATTTTTATTCAGAATGACCTCAGGAAATACCTTCTGTAGTTATGACAAAAGGTGAAACATTCTGTGTAATTAACCCTAGCTATAAATCAAATAAAAATAATGAATGGCACTCACTGCTGTCATGCCTTTAATCATCAGGCGAAACTATTGTCCCATACTTAATTTCCTGCTTGAATTTTGTTGATATAGGAACAGTTTGCCATATGACCAAACAGAAAATCTATTCTCCAGACAATTTGCTGTTTATATGCCACTGTGGCACCATAACAGTATAGACCAAACCTATGGCTAGGTTTTGTTGCATGTGTTTATGATATTAATCGTATTATTTTGATATTCTCTTGAATATATATATGTACCACTTGACGTGTTCCATATCCTACCTGTTGTACTGTGGATCTATGGAATGTAAAATAAATGAATGAATACTTTCCCAAGTCCTATTGGTGTCCCAAGATGCAAACCTATTTGAAACTTTTAACATGATACTGTGGGAGACAGGAGAGCTCAGTTGGTGTTGCAATGAGGTGGCTGGCAAAAGATTTTTTCTCTTCTCCAGATTGCCTCTGACACCCACCTGGCCTCCTGTTCAAAGGGCCTGGGGGCTCTTCCCATGGGGGTAAAGCACCCAGGAGCATGAAGTTGGCCACTCACCTCCATCTAGTGCTAAGGTCAA